TGCTATCTGAGATTCATTAATATTTCTCCATATTTCATATATGAGAAAAAGAATCCCAATTTCTCAGAATACTATAATAGAACATTACTATCAACATGAAGGAGCACTGGTTGCACAACACTGAAAGCACTGGGATGTTAACCCAAAGATCAACAGTTCAAACCCACCAGCCACTCCATAGGAAAAAGACAGGGCAGTTTACTTCTCTAAGGAGTGACAGCCTTGGGTATCCTTTCCTGTGGGACACATCTACTTTGTCTTAATGACTTCCTAGGAGTTGGATTTGACTCAATGGCAACAGAATTCTTATTTGCATGAAGCCTTCTCCAAAGTATTAATCTAATAGCCTATGCCCGATTACTTAATTGCTCAATGGCAATGAATGCCTACAGTAGTAGAAGATACTTTGGATTACAAAATTAATAGATTAATTGGATGTCTATTAAAATTCCAATGCAGGAAGTAGCACTGAAGGATGCTTCTGGATGTTTAGTTAGAGCACAAATATCTAAACCATTTAATGTAAACAATGTGAAAATAATTATTACTCGAAGCTTATGTGCTGTTTGATATTATATATTTTACTGCATTCATGGAAACAGTTAAAAATCTATTTCTCTAGCTGATTGTTTCCTTCTCCCTCAATCTAAAGGGGATAATAATTAAAACACAGTAATTAAAATGTTAATAATGATTTGGGATTACATATTGGGTACAAAAGAAAACTGAAGTTCTAACAGGTTAATCTTGTGTATCATATTCTTGTAATTAACTCATTTCATTACTGAATATACACATTGGGTTGTTTAATGATGCTAATCTGTTTGTGTTGCTCCTCAGCATAAGGCATAGAGATTAATAGAGAACGTAGGGAAGACATTGGAAAATACCCAAAACAAAGTTCAATTTCAAAACAGTTAACTAAAGTTCCTTTTACTGTTGCTTAACATCATAGTATCACTTCTTGCTAATATTCACTATGAAGCAATAACAACATATATACTCATGTAGAAGCTGAGTTTCTCAGCACATTTTTAATACAGTTTTTGCGGTAAAATTAGGTGCTTCCACTGATATTCGGGTAGGCTTATACTCAAGTATATAAATACAGTATGGAAATAGGCCTCAGTTCGATATAAACATCGCTGAATTTCCTCCACGATTCTATTCCCCATGCTTCCTCCGAAGCCAACCACAGTGACCCATTCACAAGACAGACCCGTTCAAGGTACTCCAGGTTCTCTGCCGAGTGAGGAAAAAGAGTGATTCTATTTTGCAGTCCCAGTATTATCAGCCACTCCAGGCATCCCGTTTTAAAATGTTCTTGTATCATTATATTTGTCAATTGTTTCTTTTTTGACACTGTAGAGTGTAAGGCGGTTGCAGCAGAGAATTAAATGGTATTTGTACCCACCCAAATTTCACTGCCATGTTTCACTTACAATGACTTTTTAGCAACAAATAGAATTGCCTGATAGTGTTCCCAAGGCTGTGAATCTGTATGAGAAACTGCCATGTTGTTCTCTTACAGAACTGTGAGTGGATTTGGACCCTCATGTTTGTGGTTATCAATTGAGTACTATAACAGTGGTGCATGAGCCCTGGTGGTGTAGGGTTTGTGAGTTGGGCTACAATCCACATGGTCGGCAGTTCAAAACCACCAGCAGCTCCACAGGAGAAAAATAAGGTTTTCTACTCCCATCAACAGTTGCAGTCTCAGACATCCACACGGGGTTGCCATGAGTCCGCGTTGACTGCATGGTAGTGAGTGAGATAACAATGGTGCCCCCAGCACTTTGGTATACATACACCTTTCTTAAACTCTTTGAGTACAAAAGAGAGAAAAACCGGTCATGCCACCTTACAACTTTGCCCTTTATGGGTTTCTTTCGATTATTTGTTAAAAGAAAATTATTAAATTTTCATGTGCTCTGCAGAGCTAAGCCTTGGTTTATAAAATGAAAAGAAAAGGAAATATGATTAACTGCTTCATTGCCAAAGGTTAGTCATTCCTTCTCAGCGCTGGGAAAATTCTTAGTCCTTTGGGTTTCAACTCTCATATACGATAACGTTTTTGGGTTGGACCTCACTGAGATTTCCAAGCCTCTATGCAAAGTCCTAAAACCTTCATTTTGCTTTATTTGTCTTTGTTCGGGTCTTGCCATCATCACGGGATAGAGGTGAGTACGATTGCAAACCCTGTGTGAGCCAGCTTGGCTCAAGCCTTTCTTTATTTATAGAAACATTAAACAAACAAACAACCGAAAAACTTCACTGACATTGAGTCCATTCTGACTGCCGGTGACACTATAGGATGGGCCGAACTGCCCAGTGTGTTCCGGTGAGAGAAGAAAGGCCCTTCTCTATCTCCGAGCGCAGCTGACCTCGAGGGAAGCAACCCAATGCCACCAGCGCTCCACAGAAACATTACACAAACTCTGATTTAATCACTGTGGATAATAAGTCGGAAAACCTGCCTCAATTCTGCCTTCTGACAAATTTAGATGGATTTTTTTAAACATTGAAAATATCCATTAAAATCACTCGACTTTGGAATTTCTCTGAGCTAAGTGGATCATAGACCAGCAGACACGTAGAAACCGGGTCAGGAAATCGAGTCCTTTGGCAGCCGTGGAAGCATTTTCCACCAACCTGGCCCTGCATGGAAGAGGATGTGAGTTTTAAGCAGCAATCTCAGCGCTGCTGGAACAGTTGAGTTTCAATGGTCGCGGCGCCTTCCTGAAAGAACTGCCAGCTACCAGCAGTGGAAGAAGGATGATGTCCTGTAAGAATCACGGGAATGCCGTCCCCCAGGACTGATCTGGCAGAAGGTCGTGGCAAGGATGTGTGTAAAATCTCACCATCGTGCCACAGGTCCCGGAAGCCTGGGCTCATCCTCACACCATAATGTCACCCGCTTAGTTTATCCTCCCTCTTTTGACATTAAACAAATCAAGATTATTTCTGCTTGATATAAAACTATGTCTCCCAGTTAAATAATAAATGAACATTCATAGAAAATGTTCTCTGTACCCTGTGTGGCTCGTGGATGCTGGGTTGTAAATATGTATTACTTCTCCCCACAATTCCTTTGTGCCCCTATAAAATATAGTCTGAAAAGATAGTCCCTGGATTGTCCTTTGTGCTATTTTGTGTACATGTGTGCATTTGCATGTGTGTATAAAGATTTAAAGCCTTATGAAGTAAATGGAAATTTTATAGTTTTAAAAAATAACATCCTTATAGGGCTCTTCTTCTTCAAGAGCCACTGCCATTGAGTGAATTCTGACTGCTAGTGATCTTAGGAGAAGACTAGAACCGCTCCCTAGGGCTTCCAAGGCTGTCCTCTCAGCGGGCCTAGACAGCCTCCTTCTCCTGCAGAAGAGCTGCTGGGCTCATGGTGTTGCCCTTGAGGTTAGCAGTGAAATCCAGAAACCACGATTCCACCAGGACTCCTTGTCGCATGACAGAGCTCTAAGAGAATTTTAACAATCCTTCAACCAGGTGGGCATACTGGTGACGTGTGGAGCTGCAGTTTGAAACTACCAGGTTAGCAGTCTGAAATCACCAGCCACTCCTTGAGAGAAAGAAAGGGCTTTTCTACTCCTGTAAAGAGTTATTGTTTCTGAACCCCTAGGGACAGTTTTTCTGTATTGTATGGTGAATTTCATTTGGTTTTTGAGTTTTAAAGTTAATGTAAAGAACTGCAAGTTCACACCCCTTCACAAAAAACAGTCACAATTACTATCACTTTAAATGGAATCCTGGATTTAACTTATTTTCTATTAATTGCACTATAGTAGGAAAAAAAATCAAACACAGCACAGAAAATATAAAGAAACAAAATAGCGAGTATTCAAAAGTATTCTCTTGATTACATTTGAGTAATTAAAATTTTTTTCTGTATTAAATTATCTCTCTCTTTAGTAATGTTCTTCATTAATTTATCTGCAAATAATACATTGCTACACGGGTCTACCAAGAAAGTGTCTATTGGTGCCTTATGTAAACTAAGATATTTCAGAATTCCTCTGTAAGGTCTCACCAGTGGGAGAAACCTATTCTGATTCAAACATTTCCATCCTTCTGTGTTTTACAAGCGTGCTGCATGGTTATTCTACTTCATTATTGTGTTAAACAGAGAACTTGGTGTGTGTTTGACCTTATTCCTAGACTCGCGACCATGGGCTTGGAAAATTAGCCCTATTTTGAGAAAGATCTCCATTGTTTCAAGATAGAAATATTTTCAAATGCACGTTTTCTAGGCTGAAAATGTGCCCCTGCAATGTCCCTCCATTAAAGCATTGTCATAAAAGGGGCTACAATATAAGATGAATCACACCAGTATCTGGCTCTTCTCTGTGCCTGGAGGTATCTGTAGATAAGAGCAATCAGGTTCTATAGACCCACCGACTGTAAAATGTAGCAACACCCTCTTCTGACATCTGTTGCTGATACTTATCAAAGATTACTCCCCTGGAGTGGGCTCAGGGGTGTTCCAGGGCAACTAGCAATAGATCAAGATGATGATTCACGTCATTGCTTGTTAATCATGCACCTGCTTATGATGCTGGCCATTGACTATGTAGTATGTTCACTGGATGATGTATGTGTCTTTGGAAAGATCTGTAAGCACGTTATCTATACCAACTGGAAAATCCACCCACTCTCTTGGGCCTGACATTGGTTCAAGGGGCCCTGTGCCCTCCTCTCTGTGGCTATTGTCCACACACACAAAGTCCGTCCTGAGGATCTGTTCAAGTGTTAGGGCCGCCACACTCCACACACAATATTTCATTTGGGTTTTGTTTGTAAAAATATAAGGTGGATTTTGTGAACACCAAGCATATCTTTGATGGAATGAAACCAGAAATACATATCAGAACATTTTAATTTTGCCATCATATGAGGTGCATCGAAGTGAAAGAGTGAGACTCAGTGTTACGAAGAGGCTTGACAACGCACCACAGATGTCTTAGCAAACTCAGATGGTCCATTACCTTAGAGAGGTCCCCAGCCTCCAAGTAGAAGCAGACAACAAACACGTTCCACGTAACCCAGAGGACGAGCCAGACTGCGTACTGTAAAAAGGCAAGAGAAAAATGACCCATAATTAATTTTTATTCAGCTGAGCAAGATCGATAGAGTTTAAAGGTTCAAACACCCAAATCACATAATGATTGTGAGATATTGCATATTATTTCTTTCTAAGACACCATACTAAATGCGCAGTATCCTCTTTGACATTGTTTCCCTCTTATTGCAATGGTCTCTTGCAGTAACCAGTTCACACTTGCAGAAAAAGCAAGTTAAGGTTCCTAGACAAAAGGAAGAGCCTGTACTTCTTTAACTGGTAAACCATTGTCTGCTAGACATCGAAAGAGGAGAAAAGAAAATGGACCTCTAAGAAGCACATGAAACACAAATCATAAAAAAACCCACTCATATCTTCCTTTTTCAAAGGCTCCCACATGTAAGTTGATGCACAACAGTTTCTGCAAGTAACCTAGCTCTCCACCTCAGTCCCTATGCCTCTGTCTTACCCAATCAGCTTCTAAGTTGGCTTGCTTTTCTTCCTTGTTGCCTCCTTTTCATTTCCCAGCTCACCTTATTGTATCGTCTCATGATCTTCCATTACAGAGGCCATCTAGCTATTATCTCTAATTTCATTCTGTTGTCTGTTCAATGCATCCTCTACACTGATGATAAATTATCTTTCCAAGATATAGCTCTGGTCATTCAGTCAACTACAATTTATTAAGGACCCAGAAAACATGCTAGGAGATACTGAAATTACAAAGAACAGTGAGAAATTCTGTTTGATGTCAAGTGATGGAGATAAGAAGATAAATGACTATTATATCTAAGAGATACAGATATAAATGGTTTGAACAGAAGGAAAGAAGATCGAATGAAGCATGCATTGCCAATTCAGGGAAAGGTAGTTCAAAAGAGGTAATATATGTTTCTCTAAAATATATATAATCAGATAAACTGGGGCATTTGGAAAGGCTATGTTTGGAGGACATTGCTAACTAAGGAGACAGGATATTTGAATAAAAATAAAAATAAGAAAAGATGATCCTATATCATTTCTGTTACTTGTCTGTCAGCTTGTCATACTGTGGTGGCTTGTGTGTTGCTGTGATGCTGGAAGCTATGTTGCTGGTATTTCACATGTCAGCTGAGTCACAAAAAGTAAACAGGTGTCAGTGGAGCTTATAGATAAGGAACAGACCATGAAGGAGGACTCGGCTACCTGAATACGAAGAAGTAGCCACTGAAAAGCTTATATGTAGTGTCAGTACATCATCAGCTACTGAAGGCCTGATGAATTTAAGCAGAAGATTGTCAGAGATGCGGGCAAAGGGTTGGTCCCTTGGATCCTAGGGCATTCAAAATGTGACTTAGGTAGAGCTGATTTCTGAGTGGAGTCCACCACGGTAACTGGAGTCAGGAAAAACCTGTAGGAGTGGAGACTCGATCTTAATTTGCTGATGGGGAATGGCTCAAGGTAAGGAGAAATCACTGCAAAAATCTACTAATGATTGGAATTAAGAATGTACAAATTACAAATCTAGGAAAATTGGAAGTGATCAAATATGAAACAGAAAGCATAAAGATCAATATCCTAGGGATTAGTAGCTGAAATAGACTAGTGTTGGCCATTTTCAAGAATAAAATCATATGCTTTATTATGCTGGGAATAATACAATCAAGTGGAATGGTATTACATTCATGTCAAAAAGGATATTTTGGAATCTTCAGGAAGAGACATTGGAGAAGCTCAGGATCAGCAGGTAAAACCTGGTCAGGGGCTGACTATGGAATAGACCATCAATTGCTCATAGGTAAGTTCAGAATAAAGCTGGAGCAAATGAAAACAAATCCATGAGAGATACTACCTTGAGTCTATTCATCCAAATCTTGAGAACATCTCAAGAACAGATCTGAGGCATGGAACACTAATGACAGAAGATCTGATGAGGTGTGCAAGGACAACTAGAACATCATTCTTAAGAAGAAAGCAAGAGTCATTAAAATGACAGGAAAGGATTAAAAACTCAGAGTAGGTGTTAGAAGAGACTCTGCAATTTTCTCTTAATCATAGTTAAAGCACATGGAAGAAGTGATGAAGTCAAAGAAATACATAGAAAATTTAAAAGGGCAGCTTGAGAAGCAGTTCACAAAGTCAAAGTCAAAAATTATAATGAAATATGTAAAGACCTAGAGTTGTAAAATCAAAAAAGGGCTAAGAAGCTCAGCATATCTGAAATGGAAAGAACTCAAGAAAAATTTCAAGCCTGAAGGGGTAGTATTGACAGATTCTTTGGACAAAATATTGACTGATACAGCGAGCATCAAAAGAACATGGAGAGTATGCACAGAGTAATAGTACCAAAAGAACATGGAGCATATGCACAGAGCAATAGTATCAAAGAACATGAAGAATATGCACAGAGTAACAGTACCAAAGAACACGGAGAGTATATACAGAGTAATAGTACCAAAGAACATGGAGAGTATTCACAGAGCAATAGTACCAAAGAACATGGAGAGTAAGCATAGAGTAATAGTACCAAAGAACATGGAGAGTATGCACAGAGCAATAGTACCAATGAACATGGAGAGTATACACAGAGTAATAGTACCAAAGAACATGGAGAGTATGCACAGAGCAATAGTACCAAAGAACATG